GTACCACCTCCCAAACAATGAAAATAGGGTCCATACCAAAAATGAACCCTAACCGATGCAAAACGAGGGTTCGGGGGCCAAAACATGCGGCTCGGGGCCCCAAAAACAGGTTGTTAGGTACCGGAAGTGGCGTGCGACCACGCAGGTGGTCTCGCAGGCTACAGTGTCCCTGAAGCCTTGCTCGAGCCAACAACTCAAAATCTCGCTCGAGCGAAAGAAAGCTCGGTCGAGCGAAGAACTCATACCCTCAGGTCTGAACCCAGACACACGCTCGAGCGAAGGAACTATAGCTCGAGCGAAGGATGAACTAACTCGCTCGAGCGAAGAAAAGCTCGCTCGAGCCAAGAATGCACAGCTACAGGTCCAAATCAAACACTACCTCTCGCTCGAGCGAACAACTCCTCGCTCGAGCGAAGAACCAAAAACCTGGACAGCAACTCTTGGTTTCTAAACCCAACCAACCTGAAACAAACCTGCCCAACACATCCTATAATTCCAAAAGAGAAAATAAAGGACAACAACACCAATTATACAATGACAGAATCTACGGAACCTAAGTCCGGATACAATAATAAAATGGGAAAAGACCGGGGTCGCTATAAGTCGCCATTATCACCGGCCATCGACTATATCCTCCTGTCCAACATTATAGTAATATTAATTTTGTTTCAATTAATTTCTGCATAATGACTAAACCCATACCATTAGTAAATTGATCACAGCAATATAACCCATACCCTCATCTTCAACCACCAATTATATCACCAACACTATTACTCATTGCCTCTGCAACTTCTAATTTTTCCATCTAAAATCTTCCTTTTCACTCAAAAATGAAAATTTCCAAAATGAACGAACAAAATTTAATTTTTCTTTCTTTTTTTCTACATGCCCAAATTTTTTTCTCTCTCTAATATTTTGTTTTATCCAAACCTCACTCTCCTTTTGGATTCATTTTTTATTATGTACAACTAGAGATACGTATACATATAAAATAATTCCATTTAGTAAGGAATAATAAAGAGGTCCAGTCTTAGAGAGTAGAGGATATGGGTAAGCTTTTAATTTATTGAAAGTATTGGAGCTGACAGTGAGAGAAGAAAGAAAGAAAGAGAAAGAAGTTGGGGGTCTGTAGAGAGAGAAGTTGTAACGCCCTCAAAATTAACCCATTATATATATATCATTGACATGCATTATTTAAAGAAAACACTTTAATAATTCATTACAATATCCATCAGAGTCTTACTAAACAAAGCATTACATGTAACATCAAAGTAAATGCCCTACCGGCTTACATCTTTCCAAGCCAACACTTGGACACAAAAGTATGAGTTCTAACTCAAATATAAATAAAGCCCTAGGCTTGAGTGTTTACATGTACTAACAATTAAAATAAATGACAACTAAACTAAATAGAGTCTTCAACTCCAATTCCTTTCAAGCTAAGCCCTTGGAGGTAGCTTATCACCTGAACCTGAAAATGATGTTCCCATAAACGGTGAGCCACAGCCCGGTAGAAATATACTAAACCACATATAAGCAATGAATAAAGCAATAGCATTCAACAGATGGTTAACCAAGATAATCAATTACTTCATTTTACATAAGTCTACATGAAACTTAATTGTAATAAAACCAACGTTTTTTAACTTTCTCAACTAATTATCAAATATGGCTACAGAAACGCCATGGCCAAACTTACAACAAGTGATATAATATCTACTTCATAGATTCTTCTCCATTGCCAACAAAAAATGAGACTCAGACTTATACAAAACAACTTCACATCTTCCAAGATTGATACACATCTTTAAGTGTACCTGATATTCAATAAAACATTTATAAATACAATAAACACAAACATAAAAGTGATGCTAATGGAGTCACCATCCCCTATTCTCCTCCCAAAAACAAATTCCGAGTACTTAGAGGTCTGTATCACCCTATCTTCCCTAAAATCCGTGGACGTACATCACCCTACTCTCCCTTGACACAGCCATACTTAAAACAACAACAAAACATGTATATGTACAACACATAACATATATCATACACATCATGCAAATATACACACATAAATGTCTGTCATAATCAACAGTACAATTTGGATAGACTTAATCAATGATTAGTTTCAGTTATCCCTAATCCGCTACATGGCACAGTGTCTAAACAATCACAGCTCACTCCCTACTCCTACAGCCAGATAGCCCAAATCAAGTTATTTCTAAAAAAACTTGCAAATAAATATAACATCATGCGACGTCGAACTCAAATAGGCTGAGTGAATTATAAATTATTCCATCTACTACCAACTCTAATCAAAATGATTCCGTCAATTCCATGAATTTATGAAAACCAATTTCCCATTCTTATTAAATTAATTATAACAGATTAATTAATTAATACCACTAATGAAAGGTTTTATTCACCAAAAATTTATCAAAGTAACCCAACATATCATCATATAAAATCAAATACTTAGAAACAAAACTTATAAACATGGAGTAGGAAATTCCTACTAATCGAAGTAAAACAACCAATTGCGATGAAGACAAGAGAGTTGAGTGGCCAAATGCCCACAAAATACCAATGATAGCTACCAATGCCAAATGTTCAGCATAGTTAAAATGAAATTCGCGAGGGGTCTTATTAATAAAAAATATGT